TCATTTTCATGGAATTTTTATGTGGTGCAGTCTTCTAAAATAATTTAATCGAACTTGTACAGTGGCTTTTCTTCGGTAGACAACTTCTAACTGTTATATTGTCACATGCATGGTTTTCAATGTATGGACATGGGTCCAGAGCATGGTCGTACTACCATGTCCAACGCAGATATTCTGCCTAAAACAAAGTTCTCGAGATTTCTAGATTATGACTTACAAGATATACAAATAATTGATATTTATTTTATAGAAAATATTTAAAATATGAATAATAATCAATTTTTAAGATTAAAAGAAAATTCCACTTGCACTGACTCTTGTCATGTTCACTGTAAATAGTTAAATTCAAAATTTCATTGATTTCTCGTTCTTTTCTACACATGTACAAACTAAGAACTGATGAAACTCACTTAATAGGAATGTATGCTTTCTGCAGATTGAATCTGGGCTGGTGAAGAAACAGTATATTGCAAGGGTGGTGGGTGTGTTTCCCGAAGAGGAGGTATTTCTTCTTTATTTTAGTCAAGTCATGTTTTTCTCTTCTCTCTTCAATTCTTTATCAAACTGTTACCTCAATTATGACCAGATTAAAGGGTTACTTTTAGATTCTTCTTGTAACAATATAGAAGAAATCCTTTTGATAAAGGGCAATTCAATATACTCCCTCCTAAACGGAGCTCTGATTGTCTTGTCCTGGTTTGCTGTGGATATGTGCATGAGTTTCGGCTTGTGTTCTGTGCTCATTATAGACATGTGGTGCTGTTAGAAGAGTATGAGATCAAACACTCAGTTCTTTTGACACTAAAGGAATATAAATGTGTATCAAATTCTTCGTTCAGTCTCAAGCACAATACCCAGTTATCTGGAGAACTATGGCGTATTTTTATATTTGGTGAAGTCACCTCATAATATTGATCTTCTATTTCTATTAGGCATCTATCTGATTATCGGCTTCACTTTATCCTGGATTTGATTTCAGCAAGTGGTCGATGTTCACATAAACTACAATGCTCGAGAGGGAAGGAGCACAGCGGAGGTGAAGCTTCATTTTCTACAATTGTCCATATGGACTACAGTTACTTAAAAAGAGGAAGTGGATAATAAGGGAATGTACTTTGTTGACAGTCGGTCAAACGGTTGTCCTATAAGAATAGTTGAATTGGTTTAAACTCCCTACGTATAATAAAGAAATTAAAAAGATGGAGTTTAATTCGCAGTGTATTGTTCTGTTTTCCTAAAACAGAACAGTACAGCTATTCTTATAGGTCTAAAACAGGTTTATTCCATAACCATTATATTATCATGGATAAAGTTTGTGAGAGATCTGTTGCTCCTTTGGCTCCTAGTGTCGTCCTCTTGAGTGGAAGCGTATTTGTCTGACTTTAGTATTGACACAACAGATGGTTGATTCTTGCAAGGATACTATGGCAAAGGGGAAGGCCGCTCAAACAAAGTTTACTTGCATCAGTTCCGATGGAGTCCATAGCATTGTTTTATGTGAACCGGTCACTGGACGAACTCATCAAGTAAGTGTAATGTTTGGAATATTGTCCACCCTCTTTTGCATGAGACCTCCCCTTAATGATATTTCGTACGTTTGAATGATCCATGTATGTTTGCTTCCTCTCCTTTCTTATGTTAAATCGGTGTGTTGTGGTATACCTGCAATGCAGATCCGTGTGCATTTGCAGTACACAGGGTATCCTATTGCCAACGATGCACTGTACCTTACAAAAGTAGCTTCTGGTCGCTCCATGGAAAAAACAACTGCAGATAGAGCTGCTGCGATATCTGCGAGTTCTACAGCACATGATATCGAAGAAGATTGTGTTAATGCACGCAAAGAAAACTCAAGTGAAGATTTTAGGATTGACCCTATGTGCACAAACTGTCCAAATTTGGCTCCAAAAGGGTGAGAAACTTTTGTTCCACAGGAAGATTTTCTGGTTTGATTCCACTGAAAATGTAACGATGTCCATGAGTTTCGCTTTGAACGTGCTTCGTTATGTGCAGATATGACGGAGAAGAAGAGGGATTGTGGCTGCATTGCGTTCGGTACTCTGGACCAGGATGGATCTACGAATGCCCATATCCAGAATGGGCTTCACTTAAATAGACTTCGTATGAAAAGTGTATTTTTGGATTCAAGTTTGAGAAGGCTGGACGTGGGTATGAATATGATTCTTCGTAGAGGACCCAGTTTTTGGGATATTTGTGTTTATTATGAAAATGATGAAAATGAGGTGGGAGAAATTATGTGGAATTTGGAGGGATAAGTGAGTGTGAGCTGCTACAACTGGGTATGCCACTCCATGCGATTCCAAAAATGATTCCAAGTACACCGACGCATGTACGTTTACACAGTACCACCAAGCCCTTGTAACATAATAACTTCAACAAGCTCTCCTACCACTTGCCCCACATTGCCTCCATCCGAGTCACCCCACTACTTTTGTTTTATTATACGCAATGCTCCATTGGCCATGTTTGTTGCATCTTTTCGAAGTGGGTGTTATATTTTGGAATGAAAGAATTAATTATGGTGAAAGATTCGGAGGAGTGCGTGGTCAAAGAGAAATATATATATAAGTTAGATATGATTGCAAACAACATCATCGGGCTTAATCAAAGCTCGCTCTTGTGGGTTACTGCCACCGACACCAGCACTGACACGACAATATTGTTTACTACACTAATTATACTAATTAAGCAAAAACTAACTCACTACTTAGCCTTCCAAGACCCCAAAACAATTCAGAGTACACACTAGTAGCATTCATTCATTCATAATCCCAGCAAGTAGTTAGCTATTTAGTTAGGTGTTGCTTGTTTTGGATATTGTCGATGACGGCTTCCACCACGACCTCCATGTTTGGTTGAAGAGCGGCGACGGGGCTTAGTTCAGTGCAAACCATAGTCCCAAGTTTTACGACGTCCATTTTTTGTTCTGACAGTTGGTGAAGCTGTGGGTTTGGCTCTTCTTTTATTGGGATGCTTTTCTTCGCATTCTTGAATATCATGAACAGGATCATCTGAATTATACCGAACATGAACCCGACCACGTTCGGTAGCTGCTTCATCCAAATCAATATTATTATTACTAACCTTTTTTAATTTTTTTGTGTTCCATAAAATTGTGATTTTTACCGCAATGTAATAGTCTTTGAGAAGAAGGCCATAAAAGAACCACATCACTGCATTCAGAGTGAGAAAGAATGATAGCGCGAACGGCATGTACTCCACGCTCTTGGTCTTTATCACTTTCCCCTGCATGCATATTCATTTTAATCAATGCATCAACTTTGTACAATATATGTATATATATATATATATATATATATATATATACAAATTTATGTGTATTAATTACCATGATGAAAAGGGGTGCAGCAAAGACGGTGAGATTAAACACCAAACATATCCACCCAAGAACTTTAAGACGCCTCTCTCCTTTGGCTAACACAAGAGTCAAAGCCAGCATCACCCCGAACCCCAACACATTCAACAGCACTAGCATCCTCGCCGTTTGGAACTGAATGCAATGATAACTCCAATTATAAATGAAAATATGTGATGATTTTTGTGACATATATACACTTACCCTTAACTTTGTTGGAGCGTAAAATATAAAGAGGAAGATGTAAAGGGTCTCAATGAGACAGCCAAAGGAGTTGATGGTAATAAGAAAGGTGGCTTTGGTTTTGAGAAGAGCATAGTAAATCCAAAGCATGGCACTGAACAGTGCAACCACGTAAGGCAAGGACTGGTACCCTTCCGCCGACTTCTTCTTGTATATCTTGTAAAATGTTGGCCTGCAAAGTGCATAATATTATTATAATTAAACTGTAAACCCTCCACTCCGGCGTTGCAATAATGAACTCAGTAAGTGGTGTGCTTACAGTGGAGCTAGGAAGACCATAAAGGAGATGACATTGCCTGAAACACCACAAGAATATGAAGAATGAGCGTATGATAAGAACATAAAATGAATGTAAATGGGATTGTACCTAAAAGGCCAAAGACAAAAGCCAGAGCTTGGGAACTAATGGCCATTGCTGTGTTGGTGTGCTGAAGGGTATGAGAGTGCAGTGAGAATAATGGGCGGAAGAGAGGGTTTTATTTATAGTGCAAAAATGGTTATTTGTTTCTGATGTGTCACCCACAAAGTGGTTTTAAGGCCTCCAACTCATACTTGGCTTGGGGAACTAAGTCCATATCATAATATCCCACACGGCAGTGTGTTGTGTTTCTAAACTCGCCACTCTTTCCTTTTAATCCAAAGACTCTTTCCTTTTAATCCAAAGGATATAAGAACAAGTTGGGCGGGATCGAATCTTTGGTTCCACACAGAATCTTGTCCCACGCACATTCTGATGTGTAATTCCACTTAATGCCTAACCCCATCATACACACCATCTCTACCATCATCGTCGTCTTTCACTTTCACTTTCACTCTCACTTTCCCGTCTACTAATTTATGTTTTTTTTTTTTTGATTAATTATATATCAAACATTGCTTCATGAAAGCGAGGATTACCGGACATTAGGTGCCCAAATAATGGGTGTTTGCAGTAACCATTCCAGAACAAAGATTATTGCCAAATTCTTTACACATGAAGTTTGGAAGATCATTTAACCCCAAATTCGTCTTCTTTATTAATTGGTTCAAGGAATACGGCCATTTCTTTCAAGTAAAACAACAAAAATTAATTAAATTCATGTTTGATACTAAATTTCCCTTTTTTTGCTAATTATTTTGGAAAAAGGATTTGCTTCCGTACCCCATTCTATATGTCGCCTTTCACAGCTCAGTCCATTATTAATTATAGTATTTGTGATTATTAATGTTTGGAGTAGAACAAAACAATATAACTGTGTGGAAATCTTCTCTTATCTCCCTACCAAAGAAAGTCCAAAAAAGAGCACAATATCTGATAGCAGTCGTGTGTGTTGGTATTACTTTATGATTATATATTTTATAATATACCCACAAAATTGCATCAAGTACAACATTAGTGCAACCTTTAATTATGAAACTGATTTAATTACATTACATATAGAAGGAGAGAGATTAGGGAAAAGCAATTAAGCATAAGAGAAAAGGGTAGGACGAAATTTGTGAATTAAAATAAGATGATAGTGTCAAGCCGCAGAATTGAGCATGGGTGCCGCTGGGGCTGCTTGTGTCTCCAAATCCATGCAATATTTCTCATGATGGCGCTGTTCAGGAGTATCCAAACTAGCTTCCGCTTCCACTTCCACCGTGGTGGCTTTGTGCTGTGGGAGTTCGAGCTCAGCAGCTGGCCTTGCGTTCCTGTAGATGGCGTACAGAATCATCTGAGCCATCCCGAATGTGAATCCCAGTGTGTTTGGAAGCTGCATCATCACCGTTCATTAATTACTTCAACACAATATAATATCAATATCAATTATTATTATTACCGCAACAAACAGATCCTTGAGGAGTAACCCATAGAAGAGCCACATAACGGCGCTGAGTGTGAGGAAAAGTGATAGCGAAAACGGCATGAACTCCACGCTCTTTGTACGTATCACCGTCCTCTACGAACGAATGAACGAACAAACAAACATATCATCATTAACGTAATATTATTTATTTAAAGACGATGACGATGCAGCAGAGCATAGGCATACCATGATGCTGAGAGGAGCTGCAAAAACACTGACAGAGAGGCCTCCACAAACGAACCCAATCACGCGGGCTCTGTAAGGCCGCTTCACCACAAATTGGGTCACCAACAGAATCAAGCAAAACCCAACCACGTCCAACAGAAGAAAGAACCTCACAGTGAATATCTGCCATTATTTGATTGGAATCAATACAAATCAAGATTCAATGAATTAATTAAGCACACACATACCCGAGCCTTCTTGGGAGCATACGCAATGTACAAAGCGATGTAAATGGTCTCAATGAAACAGCCCACTGAATTGATAGTCATTAGAAACAACTCGTTCGCATTCAGCGTGGAGTAATAGATAAGTAGCATTGCGCTGAACAAAGCAACCACGTAGGGAACAGACTGAAATCCTTCCGTTGATTTCTTTCTACACACCCTTATGAATGTAGGCCTGTAACACCACCAAAGTACTCTTCTCAATACGCACAAATATTCATATACATATGCATATATAGGTTGCTACTTACACTGGGGCCAGAAACACGATGAACGAGAAAATGTTACCCAGAAGACCAAACGCAAAGATCCAAGGGTTGTGGTTGATAAAATTAAGAGCCATTATGCTATTTCTATTGCTTTAAATTGGTGCAGATGAAGATGGGGGGAGGGCTCATATTTATAGTGCTAATTAACCAGAATGGATTACTTTATTAACTTTAAACATGGGAATCAAAGGCTATATTTTTATGATATCCTTGGCGTTAAAGCCTTCCAACCCAAACCCCACTTCGGGCTTCGGCTTCCCCAACTTTTTATGTGTGTGTATAATTCCACAACTACAAAAGAAGAAGGTCCCTTGACCTGAAAGACACACAGGACGGGTGAAAAGCCGTACAATATTGTTATTTATAAATGCAGTTATTGCGCTTTAGGAACTCATATGCGTGACACAGGGAATTCAAAGGCTGTTGTGTGTGCAAGGTGTCGCCATGTTAACTGATGAGAGCTTATATGTATTGAACCCGCACCAAGCTTATATGTATTGCCCCAAAATATTTCTTTAAGAGATATTATAAAGTTGGGGAGGTTTTGATTAGTCTGCTCTGGCAGGTGTATGGTTAAGGAACGATTACACTCAACAGATAAGGTTTACTATTTCTTTTGTCTCCGGATTCGAATCTATAAAGATGAACTTCATTCACTTCACACCAATCAAATAATCACTTTCTAACTTTTAGGTTGGACTTCACCAGAGTTTACAATCCAATCCTTCAAGTCGAATCAGGTATCGGGTAAGGTGAGAAGAGATTATAAGGTTTGACTCCTTTAGTTTTCCCCCAAATCTCGGGGTCTAGGCCTAATCCTTCTTAGTTTATTCCTTTCTGAGTCTAAGTCTTCAAACTTGCTTTCTTTAATTACCTGTGCCTAGGTAGCTTAGTTCTATGTCTCCCTTGAGACTAGTAAGATCAGAGGCCGGAAAAGTCTCAAAAGAGAAAGCTAAATTCATTCTCACTCTTTTTTCTTTTTACTGACGTCTAAATCAATCTAACTCATAACCCAACCTTCTATTTTCGTTTATTTTCGAATTGAATGGTGTGAAATCAATGAATAGGATGTTCATTTTTTTTAGTTATTTTAAAAAAATCAAACTTACCAACCATATATATTACATTAATAGCTAAAATATCGTAAAATTCAAATATTAAACATTCACAAGTCTAAAGTCTATTACAAACGTAAGTATTTTTAATATTCATACCAATCTCAAAACTATGATTAAATTTGGTTGAGTTGGTTTGGAGTGTGAACCCTACATTTAGAGTTGGTCGGGTTGACTCGACCAAAAAAGTTCCTACTTACAAATCGAATTAAATTTTTCAGAGTTTTAAAAAATTCAACCCAACCCAACTCTTATAATTTGGGTTGAGTAGTCTAGTCTAGGATGTTCGGATCATTAAGTTTCATACACTAACTTTTATGTATATATAAACTACATCCAAAGTGGACAGATAGTATTACGAATTCAGTATACTGATAATTAAAGGTTATTATTAATTGTTGGTGTATGAACACAAAAATGGATATAATCGGGTTGCGTGTGTGATTAGATAAAAGACGAACCATTTAGCATGTTAGACACAAGAGCCTCAAAATGGCAAATATTCTCTTGCAAGGAACTCCACCACTCGGAATTCCTTTAAGCTCTGCAAATCTAAGCGCTAATCTCTCTTTATTACTTCATATTCTCCGCTGCCCTTTTCTAGCCCTTTCCCCTTTTTATTGTTAAGCCCCCGTCGTGGTTGGTCTCCTACTAATCAAATTCCAGTCTGTTATCATCAGATCAATTGGAACCTGATATAGTGGGGCATTGGGTAAAATAGGAAACAAAGTGAAAGGCCTACAAGGATGACCTTTAAGGCAAAGAAAATTAACGACGTAATGTTCTAAATGCATAAATAACTACACTGATAGAATTTGCATAAAAACGTGCATTAATTAAAACATGCTCCACCGACGGACCTTCCTTCAATAAGCGTAAGTCAACATTTAAGAGAGCTAAAGATGGTTGAAGGTTAAAAGAGGATAGAGCCAGGCTGGAAGGAGAAGCAGAATCTAGGTGTTAAAATGATTCACATTGTGCAACTCTGACATTACATCCAATTATTCAAAGTTCGGTACTTGCAACCAATTACATGGAATGCCTACCTTTCCGTTTCATCCAGACTTAGAGGCAGTGCTCCACATTGAGCCCTTCCTCTTGGAATTTCAGGGAAGCAGCTAGTTGACATCGAAAGCATAAACTCAACAACACCTACATATCAAAAACTACAATGGGATACACCATTTCAGTTCGGTAATTTTCTTATCAAGATGTAAGATAATCTGGTTTGGGCAATGCATCAACTTTAAAAAATGAACAATATTTCCACAAGTCTAGACCCTTTTTCTTTTGGTTTAAATTGAACAATAGATCCAAGAAAATATGTTTGTCTTGTAACCGGAACATCTTTCTCCCGTTGAGATCCATTAACTGTTTTGGAATCGTTTCATAATGATGATGCTCATATCCATATAGCGTTGTGCACAGTTAGATAGACAGTTAGATTCACTGGAGCTGAACTTACTCCCAGGCGTACCAGTGATACACTTGTCCCAACACACACTGGTAAGCTTAGCCACCATCTCCGCAACCATGGCTCTTTGCTTCTCTTCCTGTTAATCAAAATGACCAAATACTTTACCAATAGCATTAAATTTTGACAAATAGAAGTCAACAACAAAGCATCCTGCTATCTACACTCTCGAAGGGTGTAGGGAGGGGTCAAATCCAGAAATGAAAACGCAGGAGGTTGTGCAGTTTAAGGGCAGGTAACACAGATTTCGGAGTCAACAAATTGCCCCCATGGAATGTTAAACCAATAAAAACACAATGTCAATGGGATTCAATTATGAAAATTGTACAAGTCAAGGCGAAATATCAAATTGAAGATATTATGCAAACTTAAATCATACTTTAAAAAGAAACATGACTGTAACCTCAAATTCAGACAAACTCAGATCTTTTAAGTGATATGAACCCAAGGAACTCTATAGCCTATTATAACTTGCATGGTGGTTGTACTCATTGAATATATTTGTACGGAAAATGTTTCTTTCTGTTTCCTAGAAAACCCATATTAACAATTCAGCCATGTATCGTTCCAAGATTAGGATACATTCATATTCCACAAAGCAGTACAATCATCAAGTGGCATCTCTGAAGCCTTCAGACCAAATTACACCCTCAAAGCTCGTCTTGAAGGAAATTAAGAAGTTGCTTCTACAACCTAGAGAGTTCAAACTCTTTGATATAAAATATAATCAAAATATGTTTCTCCTAGGCTCAGTGAATCTAACTAAAATCTGAAAATATAACAGGCTACTTTCAAGAAGTTAATGCTTGTCATTTAACTGGGTCCATATGAACCTCTGTTTCAAGCACTCTATTCATTTCATTTACGTAACAGTTTCTTGCAAAAGTATTACAACCAATTTGACACTAAATGGTTCATGAATACATATCAGAGCTGCCACTCCCCTATAAATTAAAAAGCAAAGGAACAGTCTTAACTGATATCAATTTCACCACCCTCGCACATTCTACAAAGTAAAAGGGGATGAATATAGAGACAATAAAAAAAGCAACCAAATAGCATATTCATGTCAAAAGAAAATCAGAAATTCTCTATGTTCGGATTTCAAATCGTAGATATGTATATGATATTGAGTTCAAAGACGAAAAACAATTAGAGATCAAGAGTTGCAGTCTTTTTTATGGTTCAATCCCACACGAATCAGAACGTAGAAGTGACAATTAAAAGAAGGCGATAAGGAACTCACATTGATAAAATTCATCAGCTCTGGGGAGTTAAGAGACGAGGAATCCATGGCAACTTAGGAAGGTTGAAGGCCGCCAAACGATTGAGTCTGTAAAGCCCGCGAATGCTCCCAGCCGTGCTGACTGCAAAACCCTAACGCCCAGGAAAGGAGAAAGTGGGAGGAAAACGGTGAGTCTGCCTTCGTGATGGGCGACAAAAGCCAGGCCTAACAAAACTCAATTGGGCTGTAGTCCGTTTCAAAGCCAGGCCTAATGGGCCTACGTCGGCTTTCTTGATTGGTTTCAGTCAGTGTTGATTGAGCTATTAAATTGTTAAAAATATGATACTTTTTTTTGTTACCTTTGACTGAGTTCATACTTTTCCTGTTTAAGATTTCATATTTCCGTTCTCCTGAATAAAAGTTTATAAATAACAGAATGTCAACGCATTATTTGCCCCCTCCATCTCATAAAAAATCATGAAAATAGTGTTAGAAGATGGTTGAGATGAAGTCCCACCTTTTGACCGATTAAGAGGATGATCATAAATTTATAAATAAGGAATAAAGTGTTAAAAATTGTTGAGAGTCCACTAATTAAGAAGATGATCATCTACATTAGTACAAAGCTTCTTGGAGACTATCAAAAGTGAAGTCACGAGAATTTATGATCTAAGTGAACTATATCATACCATTGTGGAGAGTCGTAATTTTTAACGTGGTATCAAAACTATATCGAGGGGAGAATCATGGGTTTATAAGTATAAGGGAGTACCACATTAAACATAAGAACTTATACTCAAAGTGGACAATAACATGATTAGTTCGAGTACTCGTCCGAAGTCACAAGCCCTCTAACCAAATTGAAACATTTGTCTTTGAGCAGTTCGTATAAAATGAATGTTGGGCAACAAGATCAATAAATTACATGTATCCCACTAAGCTACCTGAGTCACAAGCAGCAACTTGTTCGGGTCTTCAAGGTTTGCCTTCAGATTTTAATGTCATCACAACCAGATGACTGCGCACTGCATGCCTGCAGACAACCAACTCATATACATTTTCTTGCTTCTGTCCTTAGTTGACTGCATCCAAGATTCCAAATTAGCTCTTAATAAGTTGTTTTGAGAACGTGCAAAAGATGTCCAGCGACTTAGAGATGGGCTCTTACGGCAGACAGCATGTAGCATAAGTAACTTGGACATGGAATATCTAGGCCAGTTTATGCAGTCCAATGTTCAGGTCAGATGAAATGGAAATAAGAAGTGGAAGAGAATGGGGCCAAACAGCTTTGAAGACACGTTTCTGATGAGCTTTAAT